CATCATATCTGGAATTGGAAGTGTTACTCCATAGACTAGCGAAAATCTAAGTCTTCTTGAAGCAATTCGTTCTTGACATATTAAAAATTCGTCGAAAAACGAAGGGAGATAAATATGGCAGATAAACAGCTAGTTTAGATATCAAATCCTTTTATACCAAGGTTCGTGTTAACAAATGCTGGAATTTAAAAACAAACATCTTCTACAATAAAACATCACCTTCTATTAAACTAAAATCGTTTTGCGACTCATTACAAAATTTTAATTCAGATTCACCAATGATTTTATAAGTAAAAAAAAAAAAGGATTCCTGGGTCGTGTTCTTAGCAGTGTTTTAGATTGTCTTTCTTTAGAACTTCTAGAAACTCTGATCGTTTTCAAAATATTTTGCCTAAACGATTAACATATTTACGATATATAAATGATGCTTTATTAATATTGTAGTGGATTGGTAAATAGGATTTTACCTATTTGCATATGTTAAGTAGAAAAGATATAAAGTGTCTTGTAAACTAAGAGACAAGCAAGAAGTTGACTACTGATTCCGTGCCATAGAACAAACAATACAACAGATATATCCCCACAAAACAATATTCTCAGATCTTTTAAGTAAACTGAACAACATCGAATATTCAATCGAATTTACTTATGAAACAAAAACAAACAATCCATTAATTTTCATTGATATCATGCTAAACTGTACTGATAAGGACCTAAGACTAAAATTTCATCGAAAATCCACAATGCTAAATTTTAATGAGGAAAACACACACGCGTACACACACATAAAGGAACATATACAAACTCTCTCTCATTCTCACTCTCTCACACACACGAACACACGCGCGCACACCCTTATGCAAATTAATTGAAAAAAGGAATAATTCCATTATTTTATTTACTTTTTATTCGTATTTTCCCAATGAAACATGACTCAGTGCACATGTTAGTTCTTCGTATGTCCATTCCACAATCTCATTCCTTACAGATTTGACCACAGATTCTTGATTGGATTTAAATCAGGAGAGTTTCCGCGCCACTCTATAGTACTTTGATTTGCTCACTGTTACCAGTGTGTTCGTGCAGTGTTACAATTTTCGTACGATTCCTTGGAGTAACGTCCATCGCAGATAATGTCCGTAGGACAACTAATCGACAGTCCAGACAATAGTGTCTGGGCGCGATGAAAATCTGATGCAATCACGGATGACAGAATATTTTTTAAAGCAAAACAAATTTCATCATACAACCCCAAAATAGATTCATATTACTGCACACCACTGCAAATGACGTAATCTGAGGAAAAAATAGAAATAGATTACACCATGTCACTCCAGTGGGTCTAAAACTGACCAAATGGTAAAATAAAGGAAACTAAGCAGTTATTTCAATTTGCACAATGGCACACACACACACACACACACACACACACACACACACACACACACACACACACACACATATATATATATATATATATAATTATTATTTATAAAAAAAATTATAACATAAGTATGTTATAAAATCACTACAAAAATAGCCATTTTGTTTCAACACACTCGGTGTCTTATCAAGTGATGATGTTGAAGATAAAAAAAATAATAATTATATCTGCTCTACTTTGTATTGATCACTCTTTTAAGAATAGTAATTGTTGGTTATTGGAATTCATTCCGTATATACCAATTATATACTTGGATATATATATATATATATATATATATATATATATATATATATATATATATATATATATATAAAAAATGCCTGGGTAAGTAATCTAAATAGATCCTATTAATATAAAATAATAAAACTGATCCTTAAAAGGAAGCTGAATATAATTTTTATTATAGAGTATATAAGGGAATTACAATTAATGAGATCCAAACGATTTACTTCATACAGATGATCATTTCGTCCATGGGAACGTAGATTTTTCCCTGGACATCAATGCAAATACAATATAAATGTATTTGTATCGATAAGTCCAGGGAAAAACTACTTTCCCATGGACGAAATGATCATCTGTATGGGGTAAATCGTTTGGATCTCATTAATTGTAATTGACACACACACACACACACACACACACACACACACACACACACACACACACATATATATATATATATATAGAGAGAGTTTTCGTCTAGGATCTTTTCGCTAAATCAGAACGTTTTTCAGTCAAACCGAGGACCCACAGTACAAGTGGAATTATTAATGTCTTCATCCTTTTCAAAGCTTCATTCCAATCTGTATGCATTACAGTAAAAAAAAAAAAAAAAGGGACATTCTGTTTTTGTGGTGTTTCATCCTTATGTCTGGCTTTGATTGTACTGTCTGTGAGTATTGTAAAGTGATATAACCTTTTTACAGGAGCTAGTTTTGTTGTTTGATCCCAGACGTCAGTTTACCCCCTAAGACTATAACCAGTACACTTTCGATACTGTTTCACCCCCATTGGACTAAACAATATCGAACATACACTGAAATTTACTGTCTGTGTGTATTGTAAAGTTCCATAAAATTGTTACAGCAGTTAGTTTTGTTGCATGATTCCGGACGTCAATTTACGGCGAGAAGTGAACTTTCGGTAACTTTTCAGCTCGTTATGTTAATGTTATACCAGAACATTACTTATTCTATTGTAATAGACTCTCCCACACATAATAAGTAGTAGTAGTAGTAGTAGCGGTCGCCAGTGGGGCTCAGTGGTGTTGAGTGAGTCAGTCGATGTCGGACATTGAAGTATCAACCATCACAACTAGATTGCTGCGTCATTAACTCTTATTTCAAGTTCCTAACGTTTTGTACGTCGGACCCTTTTAGGACCGACTTAGCGAAATACATGCCTCCACTGTGAAAACTATTCTACAACAGTTAAATAGGCAGTTTTAATGTATGCTATATCACCCCCCCACACACGTATAAATTATTTATTTAATTTTGTAGATTTTTTCATTCGTATATTTTTTCAATTTTATTGTTTTAGTATGAGACTAAAGTTTATTATAATTAGGTTGTATGATTTTAATTTAGTCTTTCTGGTCAGGATAAGAGTGTAGATAACGAAGAAGGAATTTGTTTTCATTTGTAAATGAGGGCGTCTTTTGGATGATTAAAACAGCGCAGTGATTTTCCAAGCGTAGTTTAGATGTGGCACAAGGCCGAAAGTAGAGGGCACCCAGTGAAGATCGAACTCATTACTCAGGCGTAACTGTTCTAGCGAGACAAACTTGTTAACCGTTACACTACCTCGCAGTGCTTGTATATACAATGAAGGTAAAACTGTGGAAAGATATTTTTTCACCTTGCGAATCGATCGTTTTCTCTTGTTCTTTGTTGAGTGAGTCATCGAATTATCCCAGTTGGGGTTGAATTATTCTAGAACGTTGCCGATGTTTTATGTCATTGTTTGCGCGGTAAAAGCTAAAAAAAACAAAAAAACAATGCACTGTTTTGATTTAGTCGTCAGTTGATGGTAAATACATTGAGCGTTTTAAAATGCTTTAAGAGTCCAAGGTTGATAAAGATCAGTTAGGAATGAAACAGCCTGAAACTATTTTTTTTATCAAGATTGTTGCAGACTTACGGCTTATAAAGAAAGGCGGATTTCTCGGTTTGGCCAGTGGATTTGAAGCTTTCTGTCTATTTGAAAGGGAATCAGCAAATTCAATCGAGAAGGAATTTGCGCAAAATCTTAAACACTGAATACATTTAGATCTGTTTCTATATACACGACAAAATATATTGAAAGTAGATTCTTATAAAAGCATCATGCCAAATTAATAGAAAATACTTTTATTCACAATCTTGAAAACGGTGTACAACATATTATCCTAAGATTGGAAAATTACAATAAAAAATCAAGCAGATTTTGTCGGTTTAATTTTAAAAAAACTCCTTTGGTTGACTTTTTTGGGCAAAATTAAAATATATATATATATATATATATATATATATATATATATATATATATATAATTATTTATATATTATATGCGCAGTACTTATTAGAAAGCACTCAATATCAGAGATAGAGCTAACATATTTGGTTGGATTGATGTGAGTTTGTGACCCTGGGTTTCACGCTTTTGCGATCGTCAGACAAACTGATTATTTTTTTTAATTTTGGGTTTATGTAGATTGCGTGTATTGGTGTTATTATGAGAGGTCTGGAAATCGTCGTCGTGATGTCACTCAAGTTTGCGGTAGCATGAGTGTCATCACAACGACGATTCGACGATCGCAAAAGCGTGAAACGCAGGGTCACAAACTCACATCAATCCAACCAAATATATATATATATATATATATATATATATATATATATATATATATATTAAAATGGACAAAGTCTGACAATTTATTGAAGACATTTTTAAAAAAGAATGTTAAACATAAAAATGTCTTTAATAAATTGTCGGACTTTGTCCATTTCTTAATGTATGACGTCATTTGTTTACATTTGATACGCCATGAGCAGTTATGAATGTACGAGATTCATGGAAGATTGAAGTTTATAAGCAGTAAATTCGACCTTGCCAACCGAACGATCCTTTGTGACCAAGAGGTTAGGCACGTCAAGCTAAATGACGGTTCCGTATAGGATGCAGGTTCGAATCCTGTCAAAGGACGAATATTTTCTATGAAAATTTCTCGGACATTCAGGCCGGTAAATGTTATTTAATACTGTTTATTATAAACAGAGCATTTACTTAAATAGTTGTATCTATAAAAAGAATGTTAAACATAAAAATGTCTTTAATATATATATATATATATATATATATATATATATATTTATATCGATAGATAGATAGATAGTTAAAGAATAGTCTGAAGATAGACAAATAGATATGAATAGATTGAGATGCATATGAACATGCTGAGATAGATAGATAGTTTGATAGATAGATAGATATGAACCTACTGAAATAGATATGAACCGACTCATATAGATAGTTAGATATGAACAGATTGAAATAGCTAGCTAGCTAGCTAGATAGATAGATATAAACTGACTGAGATAGATAGATAGATAGATAGATATAAACAGACTGGGATAGACAGATAGATAGATAGATAGAGGAACAGACTGAGATAGATAGATAGATAGATAGATAGATGAGATAGATACAAACAGACTAAGATAGATAGATAGATAGATAGATAGATAGATAGATAGATAGATAGATAGATATGAACAGAATGGGATAGATCAAATCGTGAAATGAAGGTCGTTCTGAACGGGGTTTCTTCCAGATCCTTTCACACGGACGCCGGTGTTCCCTAAGGCTCTATCCTGGTTCCTACGCTGTTTGTAATCTTCATCAATGGTATTCTAGATGTCATCAGTTCTAAAGTAGGCATTTATGAAGATGACACTACCATTTACTCCTGTCTAAATAGCAAATCTGTCAGAGCTGACAACATTAACCTGGCCACTACTTATTAAATGACCTCCAATCAGTGTTTAACTGGGACAGGAAGTGGCTCATAAATTTTAATGCCTCCAAAATTAAACTGTTCTCATTTAACCAGCATAGAGATACTCCCCTGCCTGCATGGCTGATGCTCGATGCTCTCCAGGAGAGCGTCTCTCTGTGTCTTCTTGGCCTCACGTTTTGTACTGACTTCAAGTGGAAACGACTACATTGAATTAATAGCTGCATCTGTTGCAGGTAAAGTTGGTTCATTGTGCCGTGCCAGGTTTTTCTCGTCAGAGTTCATATTGCACATTTAAAAATCTACCATTTGCATGTGCATTGAATACTGCTGCCATATCTGGTCTGGGACTCCAAGTATTCATATCGAGGCTCTTGACAAAATCCAAAGAAGGATCTGCAATATAATCGATCCAGATTTGTCATCTCGACTTCAGTCACTTTCTCACCAACGTGACATGGCTTACTTCTGTCTATTCTACAAATATTTTCATGGCAACTGCTCTGAAAACCTTTTTTTTCTCCGGTGCCCTGACTATATGAATTTAATAATGCTACTAGATTGGCATTTAAGTCCCACCCTTTTACTGTCGAAATAGTTAAATGTAACCACCACTTCTACTCCAATAGTTTATTTTCTCGCACTTTTCGCCTTCTTGAATCTCGTTCAGCTTTTATCCTTTCCTCAATCCCACCCTATACTCAGTCTTTTCTCTCACCTCACCCTGCATACTTGTGACACTCCAGCCTTGCTACGAGTGAATTGATTAAAAAAAAACCAGATAAATAGGAACAGACTGATATAGATCGTCAGATAGATATTTATGAACCTCCTGAAAAGAAAGAAAAGAAAGAAAGAAAGAAAGAAAGAAAGAAAGAAATGAATGAATGAATAAATGGCGAGGTCGAATTGCAGTCGGATACGTTATCTTCACGTCCGTGCAAATACCCTTTGGAAAGATATACATCCATCTCCTCCACCCAGCGATAAGCTAAATCCTAGGACTTTTTATATTGAAAATTCATTGTTATTCTCAAAGAAATTGTTATTATACTATAGATGCACAAAATGAAATAGAATCAAAATGTTTCAGCTTTAAATAACCTAGAAAGGGTTGAGAGAAATCATTCACCTAATCAATAGATTTGTTATGAATAGAATGAAATGAATAGATTATGTCGGTCAATTTAATGATATTTCAACCCTTTTTGGTTATTTAATGTCGAATATAAATCTTATTTGACGAAAATTCCAATGAATGAATAGACCTTCACTTGTGTCACAAGGGTAGACATACGTCTGATTATTCACTTTGAAGGTGGCCTCTTTTGAGAAGAGGTCTGACCCACTCTAAAGAGCATAGTCTAAGCTCTTCTGACATGAGACAAATGAAACAGACAAATAAGATAGCATTTAAATAGATAGATACATAGATAGAGAGAGAGAGAGAGAGAGAAAGAGAGAGAGAGAGAGAAACGATGAGATAAGTTTGAGAAATGTGAACAAACTGATAAATGTGATAAATGTCTAGACATATAAACAGATTATATAAATATACGAGAACAGATTCCTATCATGAGATATGCAAAGACTGCAAGCGTGCCCGCAGACGCGCTCGCACAGATACACATACCCACATTTACACACTCATTTATACAGACGCATTTACACAATACACTTATACACACGCATTTAAACATACACATATACATTTATACAATCGCATCTACACACACATTTGCATACACACATTTATAAGCATGCATTTACACGCACATTTACACACGCATTTGCGCACACACAATTATACACAGACATTTACAAATGTATTTACATACATTTATACATTTTATTTAACATAGACGCATTTACACACACATTGCTCATACATTTACATTTATAAACATTTTATACATTTACATAACATTTTACACACGCATTTTTACGCATAATTATACACAACATTTACAAATTTAGCTATTTAGCAAAATAACTGGTATAGCACATCAGGTTATTTACGTTTCCGTATAGGATACACATTTCCTGTCGATATATTTTCTGAAATTTCGAAATATTCAGACATTTATCTATATAAATTATATAACAATTTCCGTATATGAAATGTTCGATTCCTGGCGAGTTTTTCTGTAAAATGCGTCTATGTAAATGTGTGTCGCCCGAGCATTTATTAAATGTTTATAAATAATGAATAACAATAAAATATATAAAAATGATTGTCGGACTTAGTCCATTTCGTAGTTTGTGACACATTTACACATACACGCATTTACAGACAGGCATTTGTGTTCAGATATTTGCACACATATACACACAGAATGGCGAACAGAAGAAATGACACAATTTATGTCAAAATCAGTTTGCTTATTTTTCTATTTAAAAGATTCGATGGTGTTTTACAGTAGACACTAGGGGACCCAGTTTTCTATGCAAATTGATCCGCTTACGGAAGCCAAAACAAATATAGGAATAGGATGTTCCGGCGTAGTCCATTCGGCGTCACTGATTCGGCGTGGCCGATTCAACATAGGAATGTTTTGGCAGAGGGACGATTAGGCGTCAGATTACTACTTCATCGTTAGAGTCAAATTTGCTCTTTCTCTCTCTCTCGTTTAGTAGCCAAATTATAACTTCGTCGTTATATGCTCGAATAGTCTAATTTAAAATTTAAGAAAAAAAGTGTCCATCGCATTTTTTATTCTATTCCTTTCCGTTCAGAATTTTTTCGAAAGCCCTTTATTCAAAATGGAAGCAAATATTTTATCAAAACATGGAAGAAACAGAGTGATACACGATGAATACTTTTTTATTTTTGACGCAACGAGCAAGAGAGATCCTGGATAAAAGTTGTCGCGATGTGAATAGAAAGATCGGAAAGACGTGATGCGTTTCTCGAAAAGTTGATCGCTACAAAATATAGAGATGCTGATGAACGAATAAAAAAAAAAGTCATAATGCAAGTAGAATCATTAGATCCTATTGAATTCCTGAAGGGTGTTGCTCATAATTACGAAATGAAGAAGTAATTTCTAAGATTAAATAGCTTTACTAAGTTTTCATTTTTTGAAATACAATATTGTTAATTAAAGTTTTTAAATTGCATTATTCCATTAGTATTTTAATAGGATGTTTCATTCCCTAAATGAATAAAAAGTCATATTGAAATTTGGGTGTTTTCAATACTTTTATCCTTTTTTTAGGGTGGTGTACCTCCGGTCAAAGACAGTGACGTCGAAAAAGTCTGGTGCCTAAACAGTTGTGCCGAAGAGTCGCGATTATTTTTCTGATGTCGAATCAGCAACGTCAAATGGGCTACGATAAAACGTACCAAAGCAACAAATATAGAAAATAAATTTATTTTTCAAATTCGTAATTTAGAGTGTTTAATCGATAGTAATAGATAAAAACAGAACTTCAGGTCATAAATTTATTTTTTTTTTACACATTTTAAGAAATGAACACATTTTGTTTTGGCTTCCTAATGGTGTTTACAATTCATTTACTGTTATGATGTTGATTTGGGGTTAGTAGAGACAAACGCCAAATAACACGTAACAATAAAAAGGGTTTTAATAGGTTGGTAAAAAGGTACAGAAATCGCCTGAGTAGTCAATAACTAGCTCAGCTTAGTACTTCTATCTATCTTCCGTCATGTCAACTGATATGCCACTATTTAAAGTCTTTGTTCACAGACGCAGACAAGTTCATCTTCAAGAGGGGTGGTAGGTTTCCGACACAACATTTACATAGCAAACTGAACCTCTCTATTAACTTTTAAAAAGCTTTAGTGTTTAGTCTATTTTCTTCTTTTATGGGCCGTGTTCGTTCAAGACTTTGAAAATCATGGCCATTAACATCTTCCTGTTCCTTGAAGCTTTTAATAAGTTTTGTCTTTTTGTGATTTCTCCCAGACTCCGTTCTTCCATCCATTTTCTCAAAGCCCATCAAGTATGTAACGCGCTGCTTTCCTCTGTCTCTCTTTCACTCAATCTGTCTTGTGAGTATCATATTTTCCATGCCCTCCTTCCTCATTACATGCTCCAGACATTTCAACTGCGTTTTCCTGGTGTTAAGCATAATTTTCCTTTTGGTTACATTTTCACCAAACCCTCGTCGTTGCTCACATGTTCGGTCCATAATATCCTCAGCAGCCTTCTGTAGGGCCACATTTCTGTTGCTTCAAGTCTCTTTCTGACCTTTGAGAAGATTGTCCTGAATTCGCTGCCATACAGGAGGACTGATATCGCGTTCAATAAACTTTTCTTTCTAACGAAATTTTTCTGTCTCTTAATACTCTGCTTAGCTTTTGGAATTCATCTTTGGCCATCCCAATGCATCTTCGTATCTCAGTGTCGCATTTCCCAGATATTCAAATTTCTGTACTTGTTTGAATTTTGTATCCCCGATTTGTAATTTTCATTTTGGCCCCATCCTTTTTGCTGACAACCATGCATTCTGTTTTGTAGCTTATACTTAACCTTTTTTTCTCGTTATCCTTCGTTACCTTCTGTAAGAGCTTTTGTAGTGACCTTTCCTTGTCTTCTATTAACACTGTCATCTGCATATCTTATATGGTTGAGATTGTGGCCGTCAATAATGAATCCTGGTAGGAATTCGAATTATGGCAGAATTGCCTTAAGCATAGGTTGAATAAATCCGGTGAGAAGACACTTCCTTGCCTTACACCCCTATCTATTTTTGGGTATCTCCTAAATTCATTTTCTGTCTGTATGCAGGCGGTTTGCTGTCAGCATCAATTCTTGATTATTCTTTCCTGAATATGCCAAAGTTGCCGAGCAACTCTAACAGATCTTTGTGGTGCACTCCAACGAAGTTTTAAAAATTCAAAGACAAATTTTCATAATTGGCTGTGGTCATTCCGGATTGTAATGCAAGTTGTTACCTTTAGATGAACCCAGTAGCGAGATCTGAATGTATGATGACACTTAAAATAAGACATTCAAAGGTCACTTGACAGCACTCAAGACTAACGTCACTACCTTTTTTCTAGCCACTTCCTTCAAAGATCGATATGGTGGGGGGGGATAAATACGAGTTGACTGTAGTTTGGGTTTCACTAAGCAGGATTCAGAGGGTGAAAAAAATTGAATCATCAAAATAAGAGGAACATATGATTATGTAGCAGAGAGGCGGAGAAAATCTGGGCCTCTCTCTCATAAAAGGAAAAGGAATTTGCAATGCGGGTGAAGTGCACAAGTTGACACATGGCTTGACACTAACAACAACTCAAAATAAATTACATATTTTCTCAGACTAGCTTGAGAAAGAATGATCAAGCAAAGTGTTTTTTTTTCTATTTTAGAGTGACATAGATCTTAAAGTACACCCAAAAGCTTGATTAATTTCTTGGCCACCACGATGATCAGATATTAGCTGACTGTTGATACCTCTAAAAATTGCTGTTTATTCAACAAAACGTTGCCCTTACACCTGCTGCGAACCAATATCAATATTAAATAGTTGTAGTAATAATACAATGGTAAAACCAACAGTCCATCAAAAGTAAAGTAGGGGGACATCAAAAATTAGGGATGAGACAATGAAATCAGGCATGGCTGATCATGTATGGAGAGAAAATTAGTAGTCACAAACTCCTATGGATTTAAGTAACAATACTAGACAAAAACGAACGTCTAAATGAATCAGTGGATATACTAGGCGATGAGGATTCTCTCAGTAGGCCTAGCAGAGAAACAAATTCAATATGAGAGCCGTTAATTAATAAATAGAAATGACAGTAAGGTTCCAACATCAGTAGCAGCAGTAAGAAAATAAAAGTCACGAGGAATGTATTCAAGCTCGACAAGCAGCATAATCATTGCTAGCAGTAGTCAGACTGGGTTTAAGACGGTATGTTCTAGATTCAGGATTGTCATACGTGACAAGAGTCTCGGGAATTAAATCGTTGGTTGGCGAAATTGGTGACACAGAATTGTGGGTTCAAAACCTGGTCCGGTTGGTGCTGATTTATACTCATTGGAATACAAGTCGAGCAATAACTGAGCAGAACTAAATATGAACAAGACGAGATATCTTTAAACATGGACAACGGAGCGAGAAGATTAAATAAAGAGTTCAGTTCGAAATATTCCCAGAAGGTTACCTGGATCGACAGACACCTGAAGAAAGCCAGCGATCGAAACGTTGTGACAATAACAACAAAGATGAGGACAATAGTCCGAATATAAATAATGTAAATAGTAAACAATTGGATTAAACTGCAAAATGAATTTGTAGAAATTCCGAATCTAAATAATGTTCGTACATGTACGATCGGTTTTGCTGAAAGGTTCTTCAACATATTTGATAGAATCCCAATAGATGACCAAACATTAGACTTGTTTTGAAATTCCTTCTTATTCCAACCCTTTTTTAGAACCCTCTCATAATTGGTATATTGAAAAATCTCAAGATTAAATCCATTTCAAATATGATACATCAGTTCATTGTCCTTTTTACTCATGAATTTCATTTTGTATAGAACAAAAATTATACA